ATTCATCAGCTGAATGAGCGCAGCAGCAGGCATTTTCATGGCACTCTTTTATCAAACCCCTGTGATGGACTTCATCCTTTTAAAAGAGCAAACTACAGTAAAAAGAAAAATAAAAAGACAAATTTATTCCGTTTAAATTTAAACAAGCAAGAGAAAGAACAAATCAAAATAAAGCTAAAAAACAAAAATAAAAACAACTTTTTTTTTCCTTCATCTTTCTTCTGCTTTGTTCTGAATCTCCCAAACTTTGCATTTCTTTCCTGGTGGCTACTTTGATGCCTGAAGCTTCTGTTAACTCAGATGCTGCCAACTGCCTATCTAAAGCATCTCTTCATCTCTGTGATGAATTCTGCCTAAGGATCTGCTTGTCCCATTTTTAGGTGAAACAGAGACAAAAGCTGAATTGTGATCAGACCTTTACCCTCAGAGGCTCACCGCTGCTTCCCCTCTCCCTATATCCAGTCACTATTTATGTGAGAAATTCGTATTGATTCCCCTCACTAAATGCTTGGTGAGCTTTTGGGGAAATAATTCCTTGGCAGTGAGACCTTAGTGCTTGGGATGAGCTCCATCACCATGGTACTGGGGTACCTCTGGTCTGGGACCAGGGTTTCAGCTGTAAACAGAAGAAATGCTGATGGTGGTAAATATTGGTAGTAGATGGACAGTTGGACTAGATGATACTGGAGGTCTTTTCCAACCTTGTTGATTCTACGATACTTCTCTGTCACTGTTTTCTCCTTGGCAGAGAACACAGTCTGTGATGTATGGTGGGAGATCTGCACCAGCAAGGATGACAGCACTCCAGAGATGGTGTGGAGGAAATACCCACTGCTTGTTCTCCATACAGCATGCATCTTACAGTGTCCAAGCCCACGATGGATTATCAGAGCCACAAGGGTTCTTGCTGATGCCTCATCAGAGCAGAAGATCAGGAGGAGGCAGTACGAAATGAGATGGATTCATCTTTTAGCCTAGGCAGGTCTTATTTCCCAGAGGAAGGAGCAGATGTCTCATCCTCAGAGCCACACAGGAAATAAACTGGATACAGCTCTGCAGAGAATTGTGTGAGATGATTGTGCCCTGAGATCTGAGCAGTGTAGGTGGGACTGGCCCTGTCTTCCCACAGCCTGTCCCCTCGCTCTTCCAGATCGTGGGACAGCAACCCTCCAGTGTGACAGTGATGATGCATTTGCATTTTCAAAGCTCCTGTGGCAGAATTCTGCTGTTGCTAAGCAGAAGAGTTAACTCTCAGTTTGTCATTGTTTATGAATGCAGCACTCAGGAAGAAGGAAAGAGAAGAGGAAGAGATATTAAAAATAGATGAGGAGAACAAAGCAGAAAGGGCTTGAAGTTTTCATCTCATTTTTACATAAACATCATATGGTACCTGAGGTCAGTCCAGTGTACAGCAACCAGCTCTGCACTGGAGTCTGGATTAAGATTACATGCAGCCTTATCTGAGCTGCTGAGATTTCCCCTTACTGGAGCCACACTTTTCCACACCAGATCCTATTTCCTTTTCCAAGCCCAAAGAGCAAAGCAAGTCATTCAGAAAAATAAAAGAAAAAAAAAAAGGAAAATGGAGAAAGAACAATTGTGAGGTGTGTGAGAGCACATCACACTGAAAGAGCAGTGCCATGGCTTCCCAGAGCTCTGTTTGTGTGATGACAGTTTCTACTTTTCTGTGAGAAGGGGATATTTCTATGAAAAGGGAAAAACAAAACAAAACAAAACAAAAAACAAAAAACAGGTTTGAGAAAAAAGAGCAATATTCTCTCTAAAAGCTGTTCTGATTGAAAAATTTCAGCCTGCCCTATTGAATACACCTGGGCTTTCTTTACTTTCTGTCTTGCATGACTACCTCGTTCGTTAACATTCAAGACAGGCAGCAAGCAGAGATAAGAGCCTAATGGCAACAAATTGCTTCTCCCATCTTTCCCAGCATTGGACCAGTTCAGACAAAGCCTTCAGTGAAGGCTAGCCACAATGAAAGGTGAAACTATTACCTTCAAAATAGAGGCAAGCACAATCCTGAAAGGTTTTGGCTTCAACCGGCTGGATCAAACCGAAGGGCTGAGTAAAGCTGTTGTTTCTTCAGCAAGCTGTGACGTCATGTTAATAGTCCGGATAAAGACAGTAGTTATGGTCTAACATCAACAGGGAAGGGCACAGCATAGTGCTCTGGGTTGAATGCTTTCCCACACTCAATAGTGATGAAAGCACAGCACATGGAAGGGCAAATGGAAGTGGACACCGAGGCCTGCATGTCTGGGAATGATGGTGGCCATGGCATTAAACCTAGGTGTTTGGGAGATGAAGATGGTGAGGGTAGAAATGTGAATGGTTTTACTAGGGCTTAGGGAGCAGGTGGGAGCAGGATATTTGGCCTGAGAGGAAGTGGGATGAAGCTAGAAACTCATTGATGGACGGGATGGGACAGAAAGGTATAAGATGGGATGGGATAAACAGAGAAGTGCTTTCTTTGACTGCTGAGAGCCTGGAGCCCTTCCAGATGTGGCCAGCACTGAGGAGGGTGGTCAAACCTGCAGCACAGGCTGCCCCAGCCACACCACACTGCCAGATGCATGACAGGCATCCCATGCATTTAGGAAAGCCCATGGGTCAGGGCACGGAAAAAGGAAGATGGCAGTGTAATGGTTATCCATACTGCTGTCCTCAGGATGGGAAAGCAGTGAGTAGTGATGGAGCAAAGTCAGAGGGGTAAAGGTACACAAGGGTAGAGGGATGGCTGGGTCCAGCTTCGCCACATGGTTGTCTGCTGGTGAGGGCCACTGCCATGTCTAGTAGGATGAAAGCAGCGCCTCTAACTTACGTTTGAAGTGTCCTATGAATCCCATTCCTTATTAAGCAGTATTACAACTGATACTTTTACAGTCTAGATACAGGTCTTGCTTCCAGTTCACAAGTAACGTCCTGCAACAGTGAGTCCAGGGAAGGAACTGTTCTGTGTTACCATTTCCCACTTTGTGGGTTGTCCCTGACTGCTCTGGTCTTTTTAATTAACCTAATCTTTAAAGTAAACACACCTCAATCCCTCTCTATGCAGCAGCATCTCAAGGTCTTTTACCATTTTATTCCTGCACTCCATGTAATCCAATGTCACTGCTGAATTACATGATTTTTACTTCTATTCATCTACAATTTTTTATTTGACCTTAAGCAGAAAGACAGCAAATACTTCACGGAATTACAGAATAGCTTAGGTTGGAAGGGACCTTAAAAATCATCCATTTCCAACCCCCCACCGAATCAGGCTGCTAGGGCCCCATCGTGCCTGGCCTTAAACACCTCCAGGGATGGGGCACCCACAGCTCTCTGGGCAGACTGTGCCAGTGCCTTGCCATCATTTGAATAAAAAAAATTCTTCCTGACATCTAATCTAAATTTCTCCTCTTTTTAAAAGAGCTTAAAGCCTCTTGTCCTATCACTATCAGACCATGTAAAATGTTGGTCCCCCTCCTGCCTGTAAGTTCCCATCAAGTACTGGAATGCCTCAGTAAGGCTTCCCTGCAACCTCCTCTTCTACAGGAACCTCCTCTTCTCCAACTCCCTCAGCCTCTCTTCACACAAGAGGTGCTCCAACCTTTTGAGCATCTTCATGGCCCTCCTCTGGACCCATTTCAACAGCTCCATATCCCTCCTGTGCTGGGAGCCCCAGGCCAGGACACAGTATTGCAGATGGGTCCTTACAAGAGCAGAGCAGAGGGGACAGTCACCTCCGTCCCACTGCTGCCATCCTTCTGTTGATGCAGCCCAGGACACTGCTGGCCTTCGTGGCTGCATGTACACACTGCTGGCTTATGGTTTTCGTCCACAGTGGCCCCAAGGCCTTCTCTGCAGGGCTGCTCTCATTGTGTTGTTCTCCCAGTCTGTACACGTACCTAAGATCGCCCCAACCCAAGTGCAACACTTTGCACCTGGCTTTGTTGAACCTTCAAATAGCATTCTGGGGGATGTGTTAACTAAATCAGAACTCATCACAGCATGTCAGCTATTAAAACTACTGCTGTTACAATCAGATAAACCCTGGCTGGGGCAGGGCTTCCAGCACACGGTGCAGGGCACGCTGTGTGTTCCCATATGTTGACAGGCAGGTGTGTGCCTCAGTGTTTCCAGAAGCGAAACGCAGATTGGTGCCATCTGCAGCCATGTTATGCTGTTTGTCTTCCTTCTGGATCACTGCTTTGTTATTTAATTTGTAAAGACACGCTGCAGAACACCAGCTCACTAGCACCGCCACAGGTCTGTGCTCACAGCTCTAATCGTGCAGGGCGATGCCTGCTCGCCTCTGAAAGCTTTTATTTGTCTCAAGGGGAATGGCAGGAATGAGCCCAACTCCAATTCGTGGCAGCAGCGCTTTGTGCATCTGCGGAGCGCTACGCAAACAGAGCCCGCGTCGGAGCCAACGCTCACAACCGCTATTTCACTGCTGTTCGGCTGTGAGATTGCCAAGGGACGCCGGCTCAGCACAAGCCCACCTTACTGAGGCCTCCGTCTGAAAATGGCTCCCCACCATTAGCCTCCCTACCCTCACAGCTCAGCCAGAGCTACGCCAGGGCGGCAGCTGCCCACCACGACCACAACTGTTGGCTTCTGCAGTCACCGTGCCGATCGGCAGGAAAGGGCAAGAAAGGGCACAACGGGCTGCTCCTTCCCGCGCGAGTGCCGACACGGCCGCCTCCCGCAGAAAGGCCCCAACCTCGCGCACGCAGCCCCGCGCACTACTCGTGGAGCCCACCACGCACAAGATGGCGGCTCTCGTCGGCCGGCGTCGCCCCTTTAAGCCCTCCGGCGGGGGCGTGGCGCCGGCGGTGCGGGGGCGTGGCGTCTCGCGAGAGGGGCGGAGCGATGTGGGCGGGGCGCGGCGCGGCGCGCTGAGGTCAGCGGCGAGCGGGCGCCGTCACAAAAGGAAGTGGCGGCGGCGGCCGTCAGAGTGGGGAGGGGCGGGGGCCCGCGGGGCAGCGCGGCGGCAGCAGCGAAGCAAGCGGAGGCAGGGGTCGGAGCGGCGGGGGCCGCGCCATGGCCCAGCAGCAGATGAGCAGCTCGCAGAAGGCGCTGATGCTGGAGCTGAAGTCGCTGCAGGAGGAGCCGGTGGAAGGCTTCCGCATCACCCTGGTGGACGAGTCCGACCTCTACAACTGGGAGGTGGCGATCTTCGGGCCCCCCAACACCCTCTACGAGGGTGGCTACTTCAAGGTACGGCTCGGCGGCCGAGCCTGCGCCGCGCGGCCTCGCTGCGGGCGGGGGCCGGGGGCTCGGCGAGAGGTCCTGGCTTTGCGGGGGCCCACCGGGCCCTGCCTGCGGCCCCCGGCGCCGGGTGGGCTTCTTCGGGGTTATGATTAACGTTCTCGTTATCCTTCTCTTCTTCCGAACTTCGGAGGGCGGCCACGAGGGTGTTTAGTTTGTGAAGGCAGATACGTGCTTTCAATTCCTCTCAGTTTTCCTGTTCATCCTCCCTCCCACCCCTCCCCCACCCCTCCCCCCCCCCCAAAAAAAAAAAAAAAAAAAAGAAAAAAACTTTTGTGATGGTGGTTTCCTCTCTAGTAAATAGAGAAAAAACA